GCGCCCTCAAGACATGGTTGTTCCAGCTTGCGGGACTGGCCTAAGGGATTTTAAAGGGGTTTTAATTACTTTTAATTAGATCACAGTTAAATATTTCGTTTTAATTAATTTTAACAGGGGTTTTGTATTTTTTGTATTTTAATTGATTGTTAGCTGCCCTGAGTCCGAAAGGAGAAGGGCGGGATATAAATGCAATTAAATAAATAAATAAATAAATAAACTTATTCAAATCAATTATTAATATTTTGCATTGTCTTAAAATTGGCAGAGTTATAAGTATTTCACTTTGGGTTTTATATTTCACAGTGCAATGCACAGTGCAGATGAAGATTAGTAGCAGCAACTAAATGATAGATAGAGATAATTTCCTTCTTCCTTTTTTTCTTTCCTTCCAACTATGCAGCTGCTACCTTTATGGAACACTGGAAGAGAAAACAGATGCGTCTGATTTACAAATGGGATCTTACTGGTTTTGAAGAAGAAGAAGTATGTTAATTCTTTTATATGCTGTTATATTGGTTGTTACGTTAGCTAAATGACCTTTAATTTTCAGCTAGTGACCCATTGGAATGGAAAATCCTGCACATAACCATTTCTAAATTTGGGAAGGGTGTGTTAGTATCAGTCTTGTTACCATGGAAGCCTGAAGCCTTGGCTGGAGAATGAAGGTTACACCTAGTAACGTGGGCATTAAAACATATATAGCTCGAGAATTATTCCCTTGATGGAGAAACTATAAAATGTGAACATATTCCTAATTCACTCAGTTTTGAAGATACAGTTGCCATGATTACAGAAGTTTGCAATTAGCAAATGTATTTGCTGTATGAGTTCAAAATTAAATATTGCTTCTGTCTAGCCTATTGAGTGGAGACTGGAGCTATTAACGTATATTTTTTTTAAAAGAGACATATTTGTCTTTACATTTTAAAAATGTTTTTTTTTTCTCAGTTCTATTTGAAATTTAAGATTACCAGGAAATAGTTTGTGGATGTTTGTGTTTACAATACCATTTAAATGAAAAGGAAGTTAATCAGCCATTTAGTTCCAATTGTAATATTTTATTTACGAAGTAATGTATTGTCCTGATAAATTTAAAATATCCTATCAGATATTTAGTTCTGTGTTATCAAATTCAGTATTCAACCAAATAAATGTCTTACTAACTGTAAGTAGAAAACACTGGATATCTTTGATAGATTAGGTGGATTTTTCTCATATTCAATCTTAGGGCTATACAACACATTTATTACCGTAAACAGAAAACTAAGAGTAGTACTGCTATAGGAAAAGAAGACTAGATAGAGTCCAATGAATAGCCATTCTTTCTCTTACAATTGTTCCACTTCCACTAATCTACCCACCTCAGGTTTATGTTTTGTAATTTTATTTGGAGACAACATAGCCACAAGGAAAAAGGAAATTACCCACCTCTCAAGCTGTCAACATAAACTGCTTCTTCTACCAGAAGCTCTAACACTGATGAATAGGCAATCCTGTTTTGCTTATAAAACCTGTGGCAAAGATGACCTGTCCATTCAGCCTCTCTACTTCCAATAGTATTTATGTATTTGTTTTGTATCCAACTTTTATTACTTTATTAGTAACTCAAGGTGGCAAACATACATAATACTCCTTCCTCCTCCTATTTCCCCCACAACAACAACCCTGTGAGGTGGATTGGGCTGAGAGAGAGTGATTGGCTCAAGGTCACTTTCATGCCTAAGGCGGGACTCGAATTTACAGTCTCACAGTTTTTAGCGTAGCAACTTAACTACTGCGCTAAATTGACAATAAGTATAAATCATATAAGCCATAGCTAATTATATTGAATTAATATTCTTTACTTTTAATGGATTAATAATTTAATTTTGAATATTTTCATAAAAACATACTGGAGAAAATTAAGCTGTTCACTCACTTTTTAATGATACACATGTATATGTCGGTAGAAGAGACCTCCCCCTTTTTCAGTGAGGATTATCATGTGCATTTTTAAAATCACTTTACAAATATATATAATTAGTTATGAAGAGTGTTACTCAATTAATTAAAACATTATTTTTCTCAAGCAGATATATATTAAATAATACATGTGTCTCATTGCTATATTAAATTTTACAACTGATTTCATAAAAAACAATCTTTAGTAGCAATTAATTGGTCTATGTCTATGATTTCATTTGATCTTTGACCCAAAGTATTAACACAAATGACACGTTAAAGGTGAAATCTCAGTGCTAGGATAGTATCATAGACGCTATAAAACAACTGTTCTTTTATTTTTGGTATGTTGTCGTCGGAAGGATTAACTGTATCCCTGTAGGAGGAAATATCTTTTAGGATTATGTTCGGGTGTTCCCTGTAGTGATAGCAGTGACCTGAGATAACTGCTGATAATACAATGTATTTTATGCTTCACTTAACATATTCATCTTAATTCAATCCTGTGATCAAAGCACTTGAGTATGGACTCAAATCCTATTAAAGAAATGAATCTCTAATATGTCGGAATAATGCCATACAAGAGTTATTTGAAGTTGTTATTCCAATAATAATTATGTAAGAGGACAATGCGCCCCATGTGTTCAGTTGCTTGATACCATCAGAGTTCTGGACCATAATACTATTCAGTCTTTCTGGATGTTGAGTAACTGTGTGTTTTCTGCTGACACTTCAACAAAATAAATACAGAGGAAGACCAACCCACCCCATGGATGTACCCCTATGTACCCCCTAATTCTTATACAGTGCCTACATTCACACAAATAAAAATAATTGTATCAAGAATACAGTTTGCAACAGTGAAGTAATTTTAATTTTTATGTTTTTTGTGTTTTTTATGGTTTCCTGAAGGAGGCAGTCAAGGTTTGGCATTTTTGTTTTGTTTTATTTTATAATTTCTCTTTTTCTCTCTCTGGTAGTGAAAGATGCACTTTGATCTCCCCTCATTTTTCCCTAGCATCTATCTGTCTTTAGAATTTCCAATGCAAATTATACTTTCCTCTTTTATAATAATCTCAAATAGGGCTTTTTCATATCCATCCAGTCTCAGTCCAATGCATTTTTAAAAATAATCTCTAAATCTTTCACCTATTTCATTCTTTTCATTTCTGATTCTTTTCCACACATTTTCTCTGTATGTCTGACTAAACTGAAATTACAAATTATTAATCTTAATTAATGAAACTGAAATTACCTTTTTTGTTAAGACAGATAAAATTAATATATAGAGGAGAATCTCTTAATTGCACATTTAAACTCAGAACAACATAGTGTCAACCTTTTGCCCCATATATGACAGGCTGTCTGTTCAAATAAGGCCTTTTTCCAATGCCCAGAAAGAGCCATTCAGGTTTAAAACAGATTACAAAATAAAGCTTCCTTTCAGTTGATAGTTGATAACTTCATGAACATGTCCATGTAGCTTTCTTAGCAACAGTTACTACAGGGTTTACCTTTGTCTTCTAGAAAATTTTCTTCAATCTCATGGTCTAGCTCTCAGTCCAAAAGTTCCCTTGTTACCCTACCCATCCAAACACTGAACAGGCCTGATCCTGCTTAACTTCCAAACATAGAAAAGATCAGCCATATGCTGTTACCTGCTAAGACTTAAAACATATACGAACAATGCAAACCAGCATATTGTGAATCTGAAGTCCTTTGTTGCTATAGAAAATGGGTACAAGGCTATGACACTACCTAAATTACTATGCCTATTGGTGAAAGAACAACTTCAATCTAGTAGCATCTTCACCATTAGAGAGAGCACATAGTATTAAGCTGTAATATTTTCAGACAGCTAGTGACAAAGGAATACTTTTAAATTAAGTTACAGCAGAACTTTACTCAGATTTGTTGTAATAATTTGAAGTGATATCCAATAGGTCTCATAGTTTCCTGTATGTGTGACTTATTTACAGGATCACCCAAGAGCTGAATATGAAGCAAAAGTATTAGAAAAATCTCTCAAGAAAGAATACAGAAATAAAGAGGTAAGATAGCAAATTCTTTTTATTTTAAAATTTTATGTAATAAAAATTAAGTACATTTTGTTTTAAAAATCATAGCAAAGGGTCTTCACCTTTATATTATCCATTGTAAGCGATTACTATTTTAATCCTGTTACAGTTACTGAATACAAAGAAATATCAAGAAAAAAGAAATACAATTAGCTTCAAAAGTGCTATGGAATAATTCAGAGTACTCAGTCATTTTACTCAAAGTCAATGCAATTGTGAAAATATCAGGGAGTAACTTAAAAAAAAATACCAATGTGCATAATTATACTGACTTTGAATAAATGACTAAGTACTCTGTGTTACTCTAATTTTAGAGCCATAATTTAGATTTTAACTGTGAGAATGTAAAAATATTTAGAATTACCTACCACAAAGAGCCCATCGCTTATGATCCTGGTGAAGGTTCAGGAGCAGCAGCCCAATGATACAGTGGGTATCTTCTTTGAGCAAGGTGATTACATAACTTTTCGTTATTGAACTGAATTCCTTTTTATAGCACAGGAGCACAAAACACTTGGCAATTATTATTCTGAACCATGTTTCTAAGGTACTGAACTTAATCACATCTAGAAACAAGAGAGAATGTTTCACCAGACCGAAACCAATATAGTCCAATATTTGTTCTTTTAGTAGTTTAATAGGTGACTGCAACAATCTTCTTCAGTCTGGCCCCTCTCCAGATAAATGGACTTCAACTCTCAGATTTGTCAAAAATGGCCAGACTAGCTGAGGATTTCTGGAAACTGAATGATATCTCTCCATCTGGGTATCTTCAATTTTCTAACAGCTAAATTAGAGGAAGCCTTCTATTCAGAAGCATATTGGCTCTGATTAGGATCATGTGAATTTATCTCTTTCAGTTTTTCAGGCACTACTTTGTTGGGTCCCATTCCTATATCAATTTGCAAATACTTAAAAAAAACTTCTGAATGAAAATGTATATTCATGGTTGTGAATAAAGTATAGGCATATAAAAAATTAGAAAATTATATGACAATATTCAGAGAATGCAAAATCTGAAGGTTTATAGTATAATAATCTGTTCATTCATAGGTTTGGAAAGTGCAAATTAGTTCAAATTTCTCCACCAGTTCTCATACCTATAGTACAGGTGATAACCATTGTAACTATTAACTGTGGTTGTCCTGAATAGATTTGTCTTGTATTGCTGAGTTGAAATCATCCAAGTTGAGAATAATCATAATTACATTTTCTGATAGAATATGTTATAATTTGGCTCTTTGAGGATAAATGAAATAAAATGTTTTTCAATCTCCCACCAATCTTTCACTCAGCAACCTTGAGTTCTGATAGGTTGAGGCAAAATAGCCATTTTGTATCCAATTTTCTGTATAACACATGCTTTTATATATTTCTGTTGATTTCTCCCTTACTGCTATATAAGATATATCTAATGTTGAAACTTCTCCTCAGTTGCTCTGAGCTTTTAATTATTTTATTTGCATTTGACTGAATCTTTTTCAGTCCATAATATCATTTTTAAAGTGTGCTAAGCAGAATTTCTATAAATTTCTATAAAGCACTGCAGTGTCAGCAATTTTATTTTAGATTTGACTTCCTAGATAAAAATACCCAGAACTGAGTTGGCTACTCCATGAAGAGTTAGAGGCTTGAAAGAGCAATCAGTAGGGTCTACTACTAAGTAAATATAAGAAAGAACCCGGTTACAACCAAGATAGGTCAGAGTCAATATTTTTAGACAAAAATGCTATCCAAATGCTCTAGTGTAAATATAGAAAGTTGTGCTGTGTTGTAAAAAGAAAGTTATTCCAAATAAATAAACAGGAAGTAGAAAGTAACAGGAAAGCAGCTGAGCTTGTGGGCTTTCCCAGACTACGTAGGATGAAATCCAAAAGGATATTTCCAAACATAGGAATGGGCAACAAACTGGTAAATAAAAATATTTGTGAATAAATAATGAATAGACCATGTTGAGTAAAAAAAAATGTAATTACATTATTGACTGAGGGGGACTGGACTGATACAACTAATCAGGTAGCAAATAAAAATAAAAACAACAGTGGGCAAAAATGTTGAAATAGTTCAATTTTAGAAATTTATATTAAAAAATCCTTTTTTAAAAGCCAGTGTTGTTATTGGTTGGGTTGTTCAATTAGAGTATGCTAAATTCAGTGTATCTCAAAAAGAATGGGCAGGAAGAGGAAATAGGCTTGTACTAAATAATGTGTTTCACCTGCAAACACAGTCATCCCATTTTTAACCCAGATCACGGCTGAAAAAATTAAATACTTTCTATTGTTTTTGTGCCATCCAGTCCTTTTTTAACTCTTAGCAATCAGATAGTTTTTTTTCCTATGACAATCTATCATCTGTTTTACATCATAATGTAGATATAAAATGCTTACAGATATGTACCCACTATTGTTTTTAATTTGCCAGTTAACTGTGGTTATTTTTCTCTGGTTTTACTTTGACTTTCCTCTTTTATAGTGATTTATATTATGTCAGAAAATTTAACATCTGCACATAGGCATCTTTTATTTGTTTTTAAATTCTACCATGTCCATATTCTATTCAGGGATTGATTTATTTACATATGAGTCAGTGCTTTATAACAGCCATATTGGATTATCCTTTTCTGTTTCCTTCAAATGCCATCAGAAGGGCCAGCAATTGCCAGAAGAGGCAGCTAACAAATGGCGACAAAGAGTTAAGAGAGTCATGGCTGGGGTGAAATTGGTACATTTCATTACCATTTGTGGAAATTTTCTGATCTCTGAATATCTATAAAACACAATTTTCTTTTGTTTGTTTATTTTGTAACATTCACATATATGGCTTTCCCCTTCTGCTGTCTTTATCACTCTTGTTGAGATGGGTTTTTGCCTTTGTTTGGAATGACACTGCATGGTTGATCTTTCATACTGGTTGAGGTGCAGCTTTTACAACACTGCACATGCCTTATGCTTGACAAGGTTTCCTGGCTTCTTCTTTTTTTGAGAGAGAGAGAAAGAAAGAGAGAATGAGAAAGAGAAAAAAACACGCATGTGATGCGCATGTAACGTTAAGTGCTTATTTTTCTTATAGGAGCCTTATGGAATTGTACGTGATCATTTCCTAATCCTTAATTTTACATATAAAGTGATCCTAAAGACAATGTATATAAAACTAAATTGATCACCCAATGACCGTGAACATACTTATTAGCAAATTTAGATAGCCGCCCATCTCATAAAAAGGGATTGGGGGGGCATGGAAACATAATACAAATTAAAAACAGTTAATGATCACATGGAATACTAATACTGTACTCAGAAATGATTCCTACATATACACAACTACTCAGGTTCCAACTCTTTCCCCTCTTGTCATTCATTTAAGTTTACAATAGGATAATGGGATGAAGAAGAGAATCAACAGGGTACCTGTATTCCCTCCTTTTATAACCCCTTAAAAGTACAGAAGCAAATCTGAATTGAGATCAGACAAAACCATGTGGCAGACAAATCTGGTTTAGAAAGCATGAAACCCACTCTACTATTACTTCAGGTTTCATATCATTGGCATCTTTTCTTCTTCGTGACTTTGTAAATATAGTTCCATATGTACATGCCCATCATCATATTTTATGTGGTTGCAATCCATGCTCTTTGGCCCATATGTCTTCTGAAAAATACATAGTACAATATGTGCCATTTTTCATGCTTGCCAGACTCGGGCGTCCCTAAACTTTACTATCCTTGAGAGAACAGCTACTCTGTGTTCACATGGGAAAAGCAGAGGGATGCTGCTAATAATTTGCTTGCATTTACTGTCATTCTGCCATTCCTGTAAATGATGACTTGGACATAAATTAAGCTTTCAGGAAATATTCTAATAATACTTTATTCTAAATGGAAAATTACATTTTGAAAAACAATTTAAACAATGTCTGAAGGAAAACCGGATCAGTTTCCAAAATTAGATTGGGCTAAATATGTTTTGACAGCCTTTCCAGAGAACTGTTTTGAAGAAAGCCCGCCTAGCTTTAAGACTGCGTCTGTCCCGCGTAAAAGAGATTATGTGTTAGCAAATGTTCCCTTATCCCTTTTCCCTCTACTTGCCCTTGCATTTCCCCCCTATATGAAAGAGCTGGGAAAACTCCACAGTCGATGATGGGTCAGCAAAATGAAAATGAATGAATAAGAATACCATTGCCCAAATTGTTATTACTATTACATATAGCCTCATATAGCCTCATCCACAATTTCATTCTGTTTGAAATAATTTGCAGACTGCCTGACCTAGCAGTAGCTTGATGAAAGTCTCTCAGTTGACTGATACTCTTGTGATGTTTACTCTTTTTAGAATGTTTACTTCTGTTTATGTGTCTTTGCACTTTAATTGTGGTCTTGCCTGTCTAAATTTAGATAACAAGCAAGAATCAAAAAGGCAACTTATTTAATTGCTATAATGAATTGCTTTGTGTTATGTCTTCTTTTGTGTGCTAGACTGAAAAAGAAAAACTGACATGGAAAGATCGTTTCCCAGCATACTTCACAAATTTTGTGAGCATTATTTTCATGGTAAGCGTTATCCTGGAAACATTTACAGTTATTTTCTTGGGCCAATCGTCTTCTCAAAAATAGGGAATATTTTCTTAAAGGAGGTAACAAATCTTTTCTTTGTCGATCCAGTTTTTGGGTTATATTTAACTTTTCCTAACTTTCCCATCTTCTGTGTTGGAAGTGCAAATTTCAGAATTTCCAGTACATTTGCATTGTGCCAGTTTAGGGAGGGTAAATGGTGCAAAAATTAATTAATTGACTCATGTTTTTCAGGTAATGCACTTAAAAGTTTTAGTTTTATAATAACTAAAGGATACTTGATAGCAGCCTTCCAATACTTGAAGGACTGTCACAGGAAGATGGTGTGGTTCTAAGAACCAATAGGTGGAAGCATTAAGCATTATGGGTACTCTATCACTAAAGTGTCTCAAATAAAGATTGGCAACCAATTGGCTGGGATGGTCTGAAGGTGAAGATCCCTGCCTTAGGTAGAACATTGAATTAGGAGATCTCTAAGTTTCCTTCCAACTCTATAAGTCTATGAATATAATTGCAGGGTTTTACTAAATGGATAGTTATGAATGAAAACATAAGCAGAATTCATAATCATTATTTTATGGTATTTTCTTTATTATTCTAATATATTGTGTTTAACTTCATAGCTGATATTTTTCTTTGGTAGTATAGTATAACTACTATA